CCTATATCTGAAAATAATTATATTTCAGTCAAGAATTGTGTGGGAAATTCTTTTCTGACTCAAATGGTTCGTGTTTATATGTGGGTAAGAGTGAAGTGGCATTATTTTATAATTGACTTGCAATCTTCAGGTTGCCTGATTCAGCATGAAACACTGAGGAGCAGAATCAATGTCAGGATTCAGTGTATATTTTGTAACTAAATTTATTAACAACTTCCTAGGTAGGAAGTTTTACTTATTAGTGTCTACATATTTTATTCATCTAATTTGTTATTATGGGTATATCCCTTCAGTCATTGCATTATTTTTGCCATTTGATTGTGTTCAGCATTGAGCTTATGAACATAAATATATAAACATCAGATTTTTAAGGTTCATTACATTCCTTCACTTATTTTATTATGTTGGCCATATTATTGTGTTCAGCATTGAACTTGTGAACATTTACATATTTAAGATTTTCAAGGTTCATTATATTGCTTCAGATATTTTATTTTCAAGGTTCATTATATTCCTTCAGTAATTTCATTATGTTGGCCATATTATTGAACACAACATAATGAAATTACTGAAGCAATATAATGAGCCTTGAAAATCTTAAATATGTAATACAGCATGAATGGGGGAGACGAGGAATGCATATAGGATATTGGTTGGAAAGCCAGAAGGAAAGAGACCACAAGGAAGACCAAGGCATAGGTGGGTGAACAATATTAGAATGGATCTTAGAGAGATAGGATAGGATGGTATTGATTGGATAGATCTGGCTCAGGATAGGGACCAGTGGAGGGCTCTTGTTAACACGGTGATGAACCTTCGGGTTCCATAAAATGCTGCGAAATTCATGAGTAGCTGCAGAATTGGCAGCTCCTCATGAAGGGCTCAGCTCCATGAGTAAGTAAGTAAGTAAGTAAATATTATTGTGATCAGTATTGAACTTATGAACGTCTCACAACCCTATGGGCCTTCACAGCCTGTTACAGGGATAGCTCTACTTTACTTACTTTACTTTTACATATATATTGTAGCGTGTTTCGTGTGTCACGCTACAAATAAGTTCACGCCGTTCTCAATATAGCGAGTTTATTCTTCGCTCGTCTTACACACTTTACAATCATTCCCGTCTGCAGTGTCACAATCACTGCTTACAATAACTCGGCGATGCCGGACTATCTCTTCTGGCGGTTATCCCAAGGCTGACTTCCAAGATGGCTCGATCACATCTGGCTTCTTAGCTGTCTAATCCGAGACTGACTACTTCTCGTCGAAACTGGGCTTTTTATAACCTTTCCCGCTGTTAGGTAACGAACCCTTTGTTATAGCGGTGGAGACGTTGCATTGTCGGTTCCGCGTTCCCTACGCAATGACCCATTGTTATTGCGTTGTCTCTGTGGAAACGCTTCGCGTATCTGTGGTAACCGTGGAGATTCGATGTTTCTTATGCAACGGTCTGTTCTAGCGTTTCCATAGAAGTGGCTCTTCTTTCAGACACGTTACATTGCTCCCTTCTAAAGGTTGTTCGTCCCCGAACAGCCTAAAGGTTCTCCCTCGGTTTCGATTCCGCGATGTTTTGCTGGCAACGTCTGCATTCGGTCTTGGTGTCCTTTGCGCGTCTTATTGCGCCGTTCATTATCAGACTTTCAAGGTTCATTATATTTATAATGTGTGTATATATTAACCGTCTTTTAGTGCATACAATTTCATTTGTCACTTCACACTACATGTTTCGGCATCATTCTGCCATCCTTAGATGTATTAATCACGTTAAACCATTGCACTGCCTGCCATCAAGTGTCCATTTATAAAATGATATATAACGTGTGTTTGTCGTTCAATAATAAAATTTATTAATTAAAACTACTTAAGGTCTATCATCTTACATGTCGTATATCAAACTCGTGCGTAATGCCATTCATCCTCTATGGCAATCGTTCTTCTTATGCTTTAATTGTGTATATACTGTGTCTCTTGATATGTCTTTCTTATGTGGCTGCGTGCGTTGTATTGCTGGACGTATGTGTGTGTAAAAGACGGTTAATATATACACATTATGGATACGAATCAGTGCAACAGGACACTAAAATACAACATTCATTATATTCGTTCAGTTAATTTATTATTTTGGAAACATGAGCATGTTTCAGATCATGAGGTTTGTAAGACAAAGACAAAATCAACTCCGTGCAGTGTGACTATTTAAGTTTTACCACTTGAAAACTGAGAACCCTTACGTGTTTTGATCCTTACGAATCATCTTCAGAGGGAACAGCAATACTTATTTGGAAACCACTATCACAGTAGATGTTCTGAGTGCTAAATTACACACACACACACAATGCCTGGAATACACAATATTCAACTTTCCACAATCGCAGCAGCCTTCCTGGTATTAAAACTTTGTTCTTTAAGTCAAAATTTTATAAACCATGCAGGTTTGTGTCACTTTCCTATCATCTTTCTTGGAGGGGGCTGAACTTGTGCCGCCTGTCTATCTTGTGAAGGAGATTCTTAGTATCGTCCGTGTTTGTTCGTGGCTTGCTGGACGGAGTTATTTTTGTCTTTGTAATTGTTAGTGTGATGGACCAGAATGAAACAAATAAAAAAAAAAAAGAGGTTTGTAAGAGTTCTGCAATTATTTTAATGCTTTTCGTATATTATTAAATGCAATCTTAATCTTGTTAACAAGAGAGTGTATCAGATTCTCGAGTTTCATTATACTACTGAAATTAATAACAAATGGAAACCTGAGTATTATTACTTCATGTACATGATACATAACACATTAATGTAACTGAAAAGCTATGTTCTGTGCAGCTTTCAGGTATAAGTTGTAAGCAAAGTTATGAAGTTGAATACAAATATCTCTGATGGAAACAGAATTTTCTTTCAAGTTTACCCACAGTCACCTTTCCTAAACACAAGTATTCTATATATGTTACAGTTCAAATATCCATTGAATTTCAGTAAGGGAGTGTTGTATTGATGTAAATGAAATGTTCTTATTTTACAGGCACTGGTGAGAAACTTTCTCCCGATATATAATGTTGCAACCTGATATCTTGTACTGCAGAGATTCTTACTCCATTGTGTGTTTTCTGTTTTTGAACTGAGTTTGATATAATTTAACTCATTCCCATCCAGATGGTTTTGAGTGAAGTAATATTAAACTCAGTTCGAAAACAGAAAACACACAACAGAGTAAGAACCTCTGCAGTACAAGATATCAGGTTGCAACATTATCTATCGGGAGAAAGTTTCTCACCAGTGCCTGTAAAATAACATTTCATTTACATCAATTATCAATTCTAGCTATATGTGTGAACCAGTGATTTTTGGGAGGGAACAGTAAAAAATATGCTGGTGGTATAATAGCATTCTTTCTTACCGACAGGGCAGGTGGTATGATAGCATACCTTCTTACCGACCAAGCCCTCGGTCCTGGCTGCAGCTTTTTTTTTTATTATGAGAATTGCAGCTGGCCACCGCGGCAGAGGTGACGCTTCATGACGTCACGCTGGCTGTGTTGCCCGCCAATAGCATTGAATTGCCACTCCATTGTCTTCATGGTCTTGATGGTTGTGATCGTTATGTTGGTAATGGATGTTGTGTTTAACTACTGTATGTAAGTGGGCAGAGTTAGCAGTATGTCTCTAGGAAGGTAATATCACTGGATGGACGTATAATTATTAAATCTCTCTCTATATAATCGATTTTGAAATTGTAATAATTGTTAGAAGTTTACAGATTGTAATCTTGTTCTAATAATGACGCTAATAATGACCACACTTGGAAGTAACATTTTTTGCATTGTGTGTGTTATGATATGATACTTTATGATAATTAAATTTGTTGAAGATTCCTGGCTTCAGCGGTATGACGTTGTATATTTTGGTAGGAGGTTCCCAAAGTTTCAGAAGAATGTGCCGACCCATCTCCAGAGTCTGCAGGTGACTCTGAAACGTAATCTACCAGATTATACAACGTCACGGCCCAGGAGACATTACCCATAATAGTCACCGCCTGGCAAACTTAAATCTAAGAGTTTCGTTCATATGTAAACTTAGAATTGTCATTCTTAAGCGCGTTTGCGTAACTGTTTTACTGTATGTCCACTTATAGCCCTATACATTTAAGAAATGTGTAAATAAGTTTTTGTTGTTTTATAATTGGTATAATATTTGCAGTTGAAGAGTAGAATAAGTTGAAGCCCAGCTTAATGACATGTAAAACACTAGGCATCAAATATACAGGGCCCTCATCTTATAAAAAAGGAATTTACTGGGCCGTGGTCTCACAAAGGTATACAGCCACTGCGGTAGACAGCAACTATCTGAGAAAAAATGAAAGTAACTTCAAACAGTGGTTGATACATTGGCATTTCAAGAACTGCTATCAGGTGTTGGAAAAGGCATGAAGTCATAAAACTAAAGTGATGAATGACACGTAGCAGTAATTAAATATATGACATTAACATGAAGCATCCCATCCTATAAGTATCAGTATATTAATTCAAAGGCCGTGCGATAGCTTAAGCGGTTAGTCTCTGGCTTCCCACCGCTGCGGTCTAGTCAAGTGGGATTTGTGATGGACAAAGTGGCGCTGGGGCAGGTTTTCCCCGAGTACTTCGGTTTCTCCTGCCAATCCTCATTCCATCAAATTCTCCATAAGCATTAACACGAGTACAGGTACAATAGGACATATGGAAGCCGACGTGCTGAGGGGCCCTAATATGGATTCCACCTTACACTATATGAAATCTGAACTATTGTAATCTACTGTAATCTATTGTAAACAATTTTAAGTATCGTAACTTTCTTCTCTTATTGTAATTAGCCAGTGTACAGTAACTGACTTGTCCTATATCATGTAACAATGATCTATATCGATGAAATAAATAAATAAATAAATATCAAAGGCTATATCAGCTGTGATATAAAAATTATTTTGAAATTATATACTTTAATATCCCTGAAAGCGAAGGACTTCATTACTGTTTCTTCCACTGATTTGTGAACATTCTGCATCATATCCTTGTCCTAAAAATTTTATGTAGGTATGTGAATATTGAACACTTACCTCAACTGGTTATCTAGCAAGTATCATACCATTGGCCAGTGCCATTAACTTCTGTAGGAAGACCTAATGGAAAGCAATTTTTAAAATATACCTAGTTTGTGTGTGTTCCTGTGTAAGGTATAGAGAACAACATGAATAGAGTAGTTACAACCGTGTTAATATTTTGCAGTCACATCATGCGAAAGAATATGTCAGTGGTGAACTTAACAGATGTCTGTAATGCACTTTCATTTTTCTTGAATAGCTTATTGCCTGCACCCACACAACCGGTTTGGGATCTAGATGAAGAGCGAGCGAAAGTGCGTGTACAGTCATCTTCTGTGGTTGTTGCGAGCCCAACAGCTCCGCCATATGGTCAGAGAAGAGGTTGGGTGCCACGATCACTCGAGGTAAGATGTGCACAGGAGGTTGTAGAGAAGTGCCTTGGTTGACAGATCACGACTGCAGTTTTAATATGTGTAACTTCAGTGTTTCAGTTAGAATGCTTACACCAAGACCAGTGTTTGTACAGTGTTTCCAGTCCTATTAACACTTCGCGGACCGGACACCTAGGCCTAGGCATTTGGGTTTTAAACGTGGCAGACCAGTTGCCTAGATTTAGGCTTTTAGGACACGTTATGTTGCAACACTATTCCTCGCTTTGGTGGCCACATGTCTGTAAAAGTACTGCGTAGCTGAGCTTCGGAATGTTTGTTTTCTGAGTCAGCAACGTGACCACTCTATTCCCCTCTCACTCTAAAGAAAAGTCCCTTTGTTCAAGTCGAAGCTTCTATGTGTGAAGCAAGATATTCTCAGTGTCAACATGGCTCAAGCAGTTGAAGGCCGCGCGAGCGCTCGGAGAAGAAGAAATCTGTGATTTGATCTCCGATGAGTTATCTGACTTGCCAACTGCTTCATCTTCTGATAGCGAGGGCAGTGTCATTGGCAGTGACAGGGGCCCCCAAAATATTGTGACCAGAAGAGAAAGTGAAAGTGACAGTGAGAGCTCCGATGAAAGTGCGAGTGCTAGCATTGTGGGGACAGCTGCATGGGGTAAAGTGGACAAAACACCCACTTTGGGAAAGTTTACTGGTGATCCAGGGGTGAGACAAATGCCATCGGACCCTATGCAAGTGTCTGAAGTAGCTGAACTGTTTTCTGGAGATAGTTTCTTTGACATGTTGTGTCAGGAGACCAACAGATACTATCTCCAACACCGTAAGGCGTACGGCAGTACCTATAAGGTGTTGAAATGGGTGGATGTCACTTCAGCAGGGAAAACATTTTTGGCAATAATCATTCTAATGGGGTTTACAAAGAGGGATAATTTGAAAGACTATTTATTGGTCCACTGATCCGTTTTTAGAAATTCCCATTTTCGGCAAATTCATGAGTTGTAAGAGATTTGAACAGATATGGTGGTGTTTGCATTTCAGTAATAATGAACTGCAACCACAGTCAACGGGCAGGCTTTTCAAAATTCAGCCCTTATTAGACTTTTTCGTTGAGAAATTTCAGACAGGTTATAAGCCAGAGCAGCAACTGTCTTTGGACGAATCTGTGATTCCTTGGAGGGGAAGGCTTCGTTTTCGAATGTATAATCCTGGGAAACTCTAAAGTATGGCCTACTTGTTCGTGTAGTCATGGAAAGCACTTCAGGCTATATTGGAAATTTAGAAATTTATTCCGGTGAAGGCAAGAAATTGCAAGAAACTATTGTTTCCATTTTGGATCCCTATCTTGATCAAAATTATCACGTTTATCAAGATAATTTTTATAACAGTGTGGCAACTGCAGAATACCTACTTTCAAGGAAAGTACATATTTGTGGTACAATTAGGGTGAACAGAGGCCTTCCTCCAGATCTGAAAGAGGAATGTAAATCCCTGAAACGTGGTGACACCACATTCAGGAGGAAGGGGGACATTCTTCTTCAGTCCTGGAGGGATACTCGCGTTGTGAATAAGATTTCCACTATTCACAATTCGAGCATGGTCGATGTTCAAAGATGACATGGGCAAGTGAAGAAGAAGCCTCTTTGTATTTCTCAGTACAATATGTTCATGAAGGGAGTTGATAGAGCCGACCAATACTTGGCCTATTATTCCCTTCCTAGGAAAACAGTAAAATGGACGAAGAAAGTTGCCTTGTGGCTTATAAATTGTGCCCTTTTCAATTCATTTTTGGTTTTCAAAGAGCTAAACGAAAATTCACCTTTGAAATACAAGGCATTGCTCATGAATGTGGCAAAAGCCTAGGCTACAGACCTCACGGCGGTGGCAGAACCTGCGTCAGACACAGACGTAGTATGACCGGGACCATCTACTCCCACCCCACGGAAGCATCATATGGACCCCCCTGGGCGACTCTCGGGTGATATGCGGAAACATAGCCTTGCGAAAATTGTGATGAGCGCACAATCGACGGGGAAGTATCCTTCTAGGCAGTGCCATGTGTGCGCTGTGCACAAGAAGCGAAACAAGACTTCCTATGTCTGCAAGTTCTGTGTCATGCCTCTTCACAGAGCAGAATGTTTCCAGAAATATCACACTCTGAAGCACTTCTAGGAGCTCTGGTAAGTCTTCTCCAAAAATTTTAGTTCATAAAATTAATTAGGAGATTTTATATTAATTTTTAAAGTGAACAGTGCACAAGTTAGGGTAGTAGGTTTAAAAACGCCGGTCCCCAGGGTGAATTAAATATTTAAATCACCGGTCCACGAAGTGTTAAAATGGAATTCAGGAATGTAATTTTAAAGTACATGTTTGTATAGTTGATATTTTTGGTGTAAAAAGTAGATTCGTGTAATGAATGAAGGAAAAAATGTTATTGTAGGCTTGGAATATGCCATAACAGTAAAATTTGCTGGTTTAGGTACTGGATATATGTAATCATGACTGTAAACTAACTAGATATTGTTTTATGTATAAATTGAATTTTTTGCTGAATTATTCAGTAATGAATTACCTCAACTGAGATTTTTCCATGGTCTCAGTATGATTTGTCAGGACATAACAGATAATGACCACAGCTTGTCTCACGTATTTGAACATTCATCGTGATCTTGTCATTCGTCATTTATGCTACAGATTTATGAATCTTCATAAAATAATTAAATAATGAATTAAGAGATCATAAACATTTGTCATATTTGTATGTACATAATAGGTGTGAAACCTTTCCTGTCAAAGCATAAGAACTGACAGATTTTGAACATTGTAAATGTTGGCTTTAAACTCTAATGGAAAATATATTGTGACATGTCAAACCGTTGTTGGGCAACAGGATGTGGATTGAGTTACTACAAAGACAGACTCTTGATAAATGGTCGGTTGCCAAGTTATGCAACAGTAAGGAGAGCAGTGTTTCTCCGTGCCGTGCCAAGCTAAGCTGAAGCGTGCTGGTTGCTGTGCAGCGTTGCAGTAAACATCTCTCAGCATCGAAGAAAGTCGTTTTCTGGGTTTAGGCACCGTGTATTCTTCGTTTTGGCCGACGTTTCGGAGGAACGTATCACCTCCATCTTCAGAGCAGGTGAATGGCTCAGAATGGAGAGAGCAGTAGCTACTGCTCTCTGCATTCCAAGCCAAAACGAAGAATACACGGCTCCTAAACCCAGAAGACGACTTTCTTCATAGTCGTCGCCGTGAAAACCTCAAAACTTACATCTCTCAGTATAGTTGCCCAGCATTGCCTCTGTAAACACAGCAGTTACGCAACAGTGAAACGAGGTGCATTTTCTGCTGTCCGACCGAGGCTTTATAAGAGAAACTGAAATAACTAAGGAGCGACTATTTGGAGTATTCAGCAGAGCAGAAGTCAATCAGTCATGGGAAGAAGAAGAACCGAACGCATGGTTAGAAGATTTTATGTGTGATAATCAGTGAGAGTTTCTGATAACTGAGAAGGTATTGGGAGTGTGTAAATCAGTGACACTTGTATAGCTCCCATGCACGATTTAAAATAGCACTGAAACTGTACTTAAATACACATTCATTCTACTCTGTTGATGAATACCTATTGTCTAGAAAATAACTTGCGTATCTTTAAATAGCCTTGTGTGTAGTCACTGTGTATTCTTGGTTTGTGTTGTGTGAGAACTCCTTTGGGACTGTACATGTGTTTTGTATTTATATGACATATTTCACATCCAACAGTCATTTTGACTAACTTTGGATCCCTGGAATGCAGTGCAATGTAATGTAATGTTATACTGTATATGAGTGAAGAGATTAGTGTGTTGGGTTTGTAAATTGTGTAAACCCGCAACAGTGTTACAATTAATTGTAGTTACAACTTGTAAGTTGTTAATAAAACCAATTAACAATCAGAATGGCATCCACAGTAGACCAATCATGTTACAATATTAATGAAATCTAAGTTTGCACTAGTGTGAGATGTATTACCAAAATGTATGATTTTCTCTGCAGAATTATTTTTAAATGCATGGTGCACAGGGAAAGCAATTTTAATCTACAGTTTAAAAATTAATTTTCTGCAGTTTACTTCCAGCATTCCAAGAACAGAGACATCAAATATTGTGGTAGAATGGTTAACACTCCTCCTCCATATTGTCATGTGTAAGGGGGTATACATGACGAAAATAATGGGTTCTAGATCAGATGATTGGATTTATTGGCACTTCAGTTACAGTCTCTCTTAATTACGATTAATACAGTGCTATTGCTGAATTACACAATTTACGGTTCACTGTTACACGTGCACTAGGATTCTTAGCCTTTACTTGTCATCCCCTGGGAATGCGATTAAAACAGTCTCACTGTGACTAAATCTACTCACATACCAAGTCTTCACCGGCAGACTTCTAATTCTTCTTTGACTACGAACTTCCCGTGGCTATCTCCTACTGACAGCTGAACTGCTGTGTACTGTTGAATTCCATTCTCTTCACTGAACTAGCTACAAGCAGACTTGCATCGTATGGCTGTGGCACAGAAAATTCAGAAGCCACAGTTCTACTGTTGCATGACGCAGACCACTTAGAAAACTCATGTCAAGTGATCGCTACCTAGCGAGTTCATTGGCACACTGGACCTACAGAAAACATGTCATGTGATTGCTAAGCACTGTTTTGGTGATGTCACCATGGACACAAAGAAAACACTGCTCCATGATTATTGGTCGCATGTGTGTTGCAGGCTTTGCCTAACAGTGGATTTACATGTCACAATATTTTGAAGCTCCTGGAGTTGTATCTCAGTGCAGAGACTGGCTATGTTTGCTCAAACTTCTTGTGGTTTTCGTTAGTCTCTCTAGGGAGATGCTAGGATAGTACCAAAAATTAGGCCATAACCACTTCCTTCCATGTCCTTTCCAATTCATTATGCCTTGATCATTCTGCTTTTCAGTGCTTTATAATCTAAGCTACTTTAATCGTCCCCTACCCGATCAGTGCCCCTGGAGTGAAGCGCCACCTCCTAACTGCCCCACCCGTTGACCTACGTTGATCTTTGGCTGCTGGCTGCTGGACTGCTACGGGCGACGGCGGCTACAGCTGGCTTTACCCTGCTTCACTTATCCTACTTTCACACCTCTGATCTTTACAGGGATGGGTTTGATTTGGGCGCCAGTAAACTGCTACCAACAGTTTACAGATTTATGGGAGGTGTGAAGGATGGATAGGTGGGTAGCTAGTTCTGCCGGTAGAGCTAAGATTCAGTTCTCAGGTCCTTTGGCAGGGCCCTGCTCAGGAAGGGAAGTAGGAACTCGTATTACAACACACACACACTTTGTTTCACCTGGCACTTTATTAAATTCTTGTCCCTAATGAACGACACTAACACACTACATTCAACTTCTGTCCGCGAGGTTTGAGATCGCTAAAAAAGACTCCCTCCAATGAATTCTTTTTTAGAATATGCGTCCGAATCGTTTGGGATTTTGAATAAGACTCCCCTTGCAGAATTTGCGTCCGAATAGTTCGAGATATTGCATGCAACTCCTCGAATGCCTTCTCCTCGCCACTCTCGGAGTCCCCTCAGTCCACAAGTCAACTCCAGAAGTTACGAGGATTGGTCATTTTCAAAAAATGGGAGTACACTAATTAATTATTCCCCCCAATCCGTTTAGGGATTGCAGGGAATATAGGCGCTAAAACTTACGTAAAATCTGTCAGTAGCTTGACAAATGTTACGCTTGGCTTGGGGTTGGGAGACCACTCATCTTTTGAGTTATGGGTTCAGAACTGCCACTTATTGTGTTTTCCAAAGATACAGACAAGTAAAATTTCTTGTGACCTTCTAAAGAACCAAGCTGCTAGGGGTCTTCTTCTTTCGTTCAGATTCTGCCTTGACCAGTCGCTTTCTCTTTTATTGTCTTTTTCAGTGGAGAGTTTGGGCTAAAACTCCTTCTTGAGGGGAAGAAGTAGCCTATGTGCCACTCGTCCATTTGCGGTATGTTACAAGTAGACCTAACCAAACATGTTAATTTACCCGGATCCAAACATTCTACCAAATTAAATCGAGCTGGGGTAGGCAGATCGGTTACACTACTGACAATCTATATAAATAAAAATGTAAATGTTCGTTTGTTACCCCTCGAAAATCTCCGAAAGTTCTTCACCGATTGCTTCGAAATTTTGATACAACGTTGCATTCGAATGCGCGCGTGTTTTTATATGCCTATTATATACATGTCACACCTTTGACAGGTAAAAACATGCGTCTTTTGAAAAACATCGCCATCTGTTGTAACGTGTTTGGAATTCAGAAGAGTCGCTTCTATGGAAACGCTAGAACAGACCGTTGCATAGGAAGTAACAATGGCGATACTGTTTTCCCAACAGTAAGCCGTTGTGTCGAGAACATCGAATCTCCACGGTTACGACGAATACACGGAGCGTTCCCACAGAGACAACGCAATAACAATGGGTCATTGCGTAGGAAACGCGGAATGAACAAAGCACCGTTTCCACGGTTATAACAGAGACTCATTTGCATAGCAGCGGCCGAGGGTATAAAAGGTATGAAGGGTATAAAAGAAAGACTGCGCTGGCAAGAGCCAGCAGCATATACAAAAGACAGACCCCTCCTCTCGTCAGAGAAGGCGCCCCACAGAAACAAGACCGTAACTGTCAAGCGATAATAATTAATATCTGGTCATGAGCCCCATAAGACTTACTGACTGACTGACTGAC